TTCCCTGACTGAATTGTTGCTTTGTTTGAGGAAAAACACGAGTGATGCTGTCAAGCATGCTGGGGAAAAAAAGTTGTCATGGCAGAATGCCTTCCAGAAACGTTGCCTTTAAAATAGGTGAAGTCAGTTGTTGAAAGTGTAACTAGCATTAGATCGGAGGCTGAACCAGGAACGAACAGTTACCTCAATCGCCAGAGATGCTGCTTCATTGGTTCCCTGCACATGTGACAAACTTCAGGGAATTCAGCCTTATTGTGCCATGTGACCGTATTTAACCTGGAACTATAATTCTCAGAAATCACCAGGAGCGGGGAGATTGCAGTGATCATGCTTGCAGGGAGTTCTTGGCATTGTAGCATGCTGGGGAAAAAAAGTTGTCATGGCAGAATGCCTTCCAGAAACGTTGCCTTTAAAATAGGTGAAGTCAGTTGTTGAAAGTGTAACTAGCATTAGATCGGAGGCTGAACCAGGAACGAACAGTTACCTCAATCGCCAGAGATGCTGCTTCATTGGTTCCCTGCACATGTGACAAACTTAAGGGAATTCAGCCTTATTGTGCCATGTGACCTTATTTAACCTGGAACTATAATTCTCAGAAATCACCAGGAGCTGGGAGATTGCAGTGATCATGCTTGCAGGGAGTTCTTGGCATTGTAGTCTTGACATGCCTGAATGAAGTTGAAAAGATTGGCTTACAGTTTTTAAGTATCTGGGCAAGTCACCAGACATAGGACACAAGATATCAGAAAATCAGACATGTTCTTTTGCTGTGCCTTTTATCAGAAGTAACATTTCTGGTGGGAGGAAGGCTAAGTTTCCTTTTCTACCTCAGGCTTGTGGTAGGAAGTCTCTAAAGTGAAAGTGCTTGAAAGTTATTTGAAAAACAGTGGCCAAGTAATTAAAACCAGTACAAGATAGGAGAGGGGAAATGTTGGGTTTCCTTCCTGCCCTGATTGATTGATTGATTTATTATGTGCCATCAAGTCATTTTCGACTCCTAGTGACCACATAGATGCCCTGACTCCTAGTGACCACATTCCTGCCCTGATTCTTTCCTAAACACTGTCGTGTTTTACAGCTGTTGTGACCACAGCTACAACTGTAGTGCAGATGCCCTACCCTCAACAGCCTGGGACACCAGCTGTTTATCCCGGAGGAGCATACCAAGGATACAATCCGCTGCCGGTGCAGCCCCAGCCCAGAATGCCAGTGGCACCCTACCCAACCCAGCACCCTCCGCCCTATCCTATGCAGCCTGCAGGGCCACCGCCATATCATGAAACAGTGGCAGGTAAGAAAAGAAGAGGGGAGAGATGTGCTGAAACTGCTAAAAAGAAAAAGGAAATGGACATGTGGTAGTGGTAATATATTTAGGCAAGTTTTTCTCTCACTCATAGTAGTCTTCCTTTTCAAAATATGTCCAACTACAAATTATAAATTATTCATGGTTGCTATCTTGGGGAATTTGGCTTCCTTAATACAAACAAGCCATGATTTCTCTGTAAAATCTTCTAAGGCTATCTGGTTGAAATCCCTTTCTTACTGATGGTTTGATTCCACTGGTGACATGATACAAGTAGTCAATTTCCTAAAGAACATGGTTGAGCAGTTGAGCAGCCATGCTGTGGTAGAAATTTCCTCTTAAACATCTCCCTCAGTACTGGCCAAAATGCTTCCAAGTTGGATGACTTCAGCACGGGCTGCAGAATTCAGCAGGCACTGAAGCCGCTCTGCCTCGAAGATCTTTGATTTATGGGAAGGGGGCTTCAGGGCAGGCTGCTTTGATACATACTACAGGATTGGTTTGGCGTGTTCTGCAGCCTTGCCTACAATGTTTGCTGAGACATCCCAGTCTAGAAGGATTTTGGCGAGCACTGCAGAAGATGATTTCTCTCAGTCTTCTCCCATAGAGCAAGCTTTGCTTCATAAAACATCTTCAAGGAGGTGCTTTGCTTGAACTTCAGTCCTTTCAAGGATTTACAGAAACCTAGCAATGCCATTTCCCACACAACATTTATCAGGCAGCCAGAGAGAAACCACGTTACCTATAAATCTTCATAGAGTAATAGAAATGTTATGGAGAAGAAGGAAGGAACAGCCTAAACATTTCAGGTATAGAAGGAGTGCTGTTCTACTAGCAACAGATAACCAATTCAGTAATCAATAGGGATGGAGATCTACTCGGGGGACACTTTGGTCCACCAGGGCAAGCTTCTTTTCCCAGTATAGGAATAAGGCTCCCACACAGACATCTTTCAGAGCACTCCATGCAACATGTTTGTATTGTTTTCTGTGACAGAAAAACAAAGGGTCCCCAGGGACAAGAAGGTAAACAACAACAACACTGAAATAGCTAAATCAGAAGACCAGAGATGAGGATTTGCTTTCAGAGTTCTTGAATATTCAGTTCATTCCTTTTTAAATGTGCTCTCCTTTAAAGAGAATGAATTGTTAATATGCTTTAATACGCTTCATTGTGCAATCTAATTTTCAGATCTTACTGATTAAGCTAGAGATCCTCCTTGATTTCATAAGTATATGGGCTTTGGCACTTGTAATGAAAATCTAAGAAATATGCACAAATAAATATAAAAAGTTAATCTGTGGAAAAGCACTAACATGCTATGCTTGTTTGTTTGTTTTACAGCTGGTGCTGGAGCTCCTGTAGTTCAACCGCCTTATAACCCAGCATATATGGATCCTCCAAAGCATTCCTATTAAATGGACTTTTGCTGTGTGTCTGTGTGGAAACCTCTGCCTTTTTCATGTGGAGTTCTTTCTTAAAATACCATTCTGATATATCTGTTTGGAGGAATGGGCCAGAGTTTAGACAACTGTTCTTTACAGTGTATTGAGAAGTGCAAGATATTAGGATCAAGCGATTAAAAATTGACTTAAAAAAAAAAAGCGGGGGGGGGTCTAAGAAAAAACTTAAAGGTAAGCATTGTGAATATAATTGTATTAAATAGCAACAAGCATTTGGGGCATTATTTTGCCATTTTTCCAACAAAATCAATTTACAATTGGCTATTCTCTTTCCAGTTTAGCACAGAAGAGCAACATCTGTGGCAAAGCAAAGTATGTTTTTGAAGTAATAGGGAAATAGCTCTTTAGCAAGAAATGGGGCATGTTGTTAAATAATATCCCTGTATTTCTCCATCATGCAGCAATTGCACAGCCATTCAGTATAACTTTCCAGTGCAAATATTTGAATGTCATTGGAATGTTGTCACTATACCAAAAATCTTGCATGGAAATCATTGCATGGAAATTGTTGAATGGGATCATTTATCAGCTTTCTGTATTCTGCAACAAAACATTACAGCATATTGTGCTCTTGTATAAAAAGAGCAGGATTCAGATCAAACACAGATAAATAATATGATGACCACCTCTACTTTTATCTGTAGTTCCCAGAATCCCTTGCCCTTAGCACCCAGAGCCTGCTGGGAATTTAAATCCAGCTGGAGGAATGTCAAATTGCCTAGTTCTGTTCTCGGGCATTTCATTCCTTCCCACATTAACCATTTTTCTTTTCCAACTGACAGTCAGTTTCCTATAGGCATGTATTGTCTTGAGCAAGGTGGTTTTGATTAGAGCCTGGCTATGCTATTGGAAGGAGGAAATATCACAGTGATAATATTTTGTTAACTGAGTGCTTTGCTGCCATTTGAGAATAATCCATTTCTCAGTTGAAAGGAGTTTTTCAACTACTTACTGTATTCCCTATTTCCTTGGAGTTTGTATAAGCAGAGAGAGAGAGAGAGAGATGAAGTTCTGTCCTGAAATACAAACATTATTTGTAATACGTTTGGTGTCCTATGACTTATATGCAAGTGGAAATGTTTCAAAACTCTTTATATATTAATATAGAGCCTATTTGATAAGGAAGAAAACCTAAGCCTGGGCTTTCACCCCAGGAAAATAGATGACCCCCAATCTCTGCAAAGTTACAGCAATCCAAAGGAAAACAACTTTGCTCCAAATAAAGTGGCACAGAGCCCAAAATAAACCAATGCAGCTCACAAAACCAGCCAACTTTGTGAGATTAGGTAAGTCTTGTGCAGAAATACCCCAGCCAAGAGAAACCTGGTTTCAGAGCTTTTTTTTTTTTATTGCAAATAGTTTTGTGTAGTTACAGGATTATAGTCCTGGTGTTTGTCTGAAGAATGTTTCTGTAACCTTTGTGTCTTCTTAAAGCTTCCAGTTTCAGTTCCATTTTCCTATTTAAGGTACTTGCAGAATAATTAAGACTTGTCCAATAAATCCTACTGAATTTTATAGGACTTTCATTTAATATGTAGGAGACTCTACTGTAAACTTACACAGGCTGACTTCTCTTCAGAAAGATCTAGTATCTTCTCTGTATTAATGGCTTGTATCAGCCTTTCCCAAACCAGTATTCTTGAGATATGGTGGTTTTATGGCCATGCTTGCTTGGAGGTATTGTGAATTACAGTCCAACAAGATAAAGGGCATTTGCCTGAGAGAAGTAGGCAACGCTATATTACAGAAAAATGAGAGGATATCAGAAATTCAAAAGCTGGGATACATTTTTTCACACACATGTGAGTGATAGAATACTTCTTTGTGCATAGGAAGAGAAAATGGTTGATTCCTGTAGTTTGTGTTAAGCTCTACTTATGTACTGTTTGTAAGTAAGTCTGAAAGAGTTTGTACCCTTATTCCTAAGCATTAGAGATACCTTATTTCATCAAGCTTTGGATTATGACACCGTGACCCAGTCTACGTTCTTACTTCCACATGTGTCTTACAAAGAATACCTCTCTCTATCACTGTGCTGTAATTATGAAATCATGGTATTATTTCTCTGAAGGTCATTTTGCCTGCTTGCCTTGACCTGCCTCTGTTTCCTTATTCAAGTCATATATGCTGTGAGTAGTTTCTAATCATTGTAATGCGTGAAATCACAGTTAACATTGGCAAGATTTCAGTAGAAGTGACACAACATTCACAACTGA